CAAGAGAAAGCCTGAAGCTGGTCAATAAGGTCTGTAAATCATTTCTAAAGGCCGCCGGCTCCGTTCAGCATGCCAGCCTGTTCCAGTAGATCCTAAGCTGAAGGAGGAAGAGCTGTTCAATTCAAGCAAACTTCATTTTTGATGATCCTCCCACATTATAACGTTTATGTATTTAATGCATTTTTCTTTGCTGGTGTAACGTAATTAAGCGGTATATACTGTATGATGGTCCCATATGTGTGGACGTCATGTTGAGGTAATGGTGGAACGAATCGGTTTCTCAGAGCAGGTCTGATGACTGTTTCTCTTTCTTGTCACCGAGAAAACTCTGTTAAACAAAAGGTTTAATGCAGCAAATGTCAGGAATTGGATTGAAGTTTGTCAGCCATTTTTCTTTTTTAACTGAAGCGCATTCCTGCTTTGGCCAGAAAAGGCTTTGCTTTGTCTCCGTCTAACATGTGAAGCTCAAACTAAACTACACTAAGCTGCAACGCTGCCTGCTGTGACAGTCCAATGTCAGAGATGAGTGTTTGCATTAACCTGCCAGCCCAAACCATTGCACCCCCACTGCCATGCTTGACTTAATGCTAATTTTAGTTCTTTTATTCCAGACATGGATCTTTTATCATGACTTGGATCTTATCTGTTCAGAGGACAGAAGCTCCTAGTGCATTTAGATCAGGGGTCACCAACCTTTTTAGGGCTGAGGGCTACTTCATGGCTACCGAGTCATAGGAAGGGCTACCAACACTGACCTATGAGCTGGAGGGATCAGTGTTCACCTACAGTAAATCTCATCCATAAAAACTCATTTTTATTCTCATTTTATTCTTTTATTCATTTCTAATTTTCTTTTTAATATTGTCATTTTGAAACCACTGAAATAGGATGAAATAGTTAACATGATGAAATAATACATAAATGATTAAAAAGTACAGCAACAGAAAAAAATAAAATAAATTAAACTTAACCCACTGAGTGAGTTCTTCTGTTTTCAGAAGACGAAGAGGGACCCCCATGTGGTCCTTGAGGGCCTCTTGGTGCCCGCGGGCACCGCGTTGGTGACCCCTGATTTAAATGCAACTTTACAGACCTAAGAAATGATGAAATATTCATTTTAGTCTCAGTTTTGAGTCTCTTTCCAAATTCTCTGAGGACTTCTTAAGTCTGGAGTAGATCTACACTGCAAAAACAATCTAAAAATTGGTAAAACTTTCTTAAATTAAGTGTATTTACCCTTAATTTAAGCAAGTAAATTAGATGATTTGCCAATGGAATGAGTATTTTAGATCATGTGCACTAGAAATAAGACAATGCAATTGTTTTTTCTTATTTCAAATGTAATTTGCTATTGGCAAAGTGTCTCGCTTACCCCCTTAATTCATGAAAAAATGCACATATTTAAAAAAAAAAAAATGGTTTATTGAGATTAAAATTTTTTTTGCTGTGTGTTGAGGCCTAAATACATAAGTTGTGTAAATTTTTTTAATCTCCAATCCGATTTTTTTCCGTGTCACGCTGATTGCACAAAGAGAGGTTCTGACTAGGCAGCGTAGGCAGATCTTTGCAGAATTGTTTCACATCTGTCTCTGTTCTATACACAAATTGAAATAGTTTCCCACATTTGACTTGTCTATGAAAATTTCTAAAAAAAAAAAAAAAAACACAGTTAAAAAATGGAGTTCTAGATAAGTTATTTTCCCTAAAATAAGTGCATTTATTCTTAGATTGAGGAGGTAAAAAAGATATTTTGCCAATGGAACAAGTTAATTTACATTTAAAATAAGAAAAACACAGTTGCATTGTCTTATTTCACATGCATTTTATCTAAATGTCTGCTTTTAACTGTAAAAATACTCATTCCATTGGCAAATCAAATCATTTACTCACTCAAATTAAGAGTAAATACACTTAATTTAAGAAATTTTAGCTTATTTTTCGATCGTTTTTGCAGTGCACAAAAGCGCAGCTATAAAGCAAAGCTTAACAAATCTGTACAACATCTCTAAGCAGAACAGATCATTTTCATGTGTTAAAAAAAATGGGCTCTATGCACAGCTCCACTATTTCCTGAATTTAAAGCAGCTCCTTTGTTTCCTGTCTTTCATGATTGGATGCACTGATTAATCCAGGTGTGTATGACCTAAGTAACTGGCCAGAAACACCTGGATTAATCAGTTCGTCCAGTAATGAAAGACAGGAAACAAAGGAGCTGCTTTAAATTCAGGAAGTAGTGGAGCTGTGCATAGAGCCCATTAGATCTACATCTAAAGAAAGAAAAACCATAAAGAGTTGAGAGAGATGCGCTGCGCTTAGTTCTGTCTGACCATCGTTATTTTGGTTTCTGTGATGCTCAAAGAGGATCACTACTTTATCAGTTTTCTGTCCTCCTGAACTCCTATCATGGGGAAACTTTTATATTTCTTAATGTTTCATTTATTGCTTTTGCACCAGTCTGTCCTGCTTACTATATACTTGTACTTTGTGCTTTACCCCCAAAGCCGATGTGTTTTACTTTGTAACTGCGTCTCTTCCTGTCAGACCCTTGAAATTGCAGCTGAATTGCTGCGTAGTCCGACTAAAATAGACCCGGGCTGTATCTCAGTCGGACCTATACAGCCCCCTTTGCATTAAATCCTGACAGGTGTGATCATCCCCATTGACATTTAGTGAGCGCTAAACGCCACGGCCTTGTCAGACATGATTTTCTGTTGCATTCGGTGTGTTCTGGCCTTTAGGCTGCATGTCATTAAAGACAACGTTGAATTTGTGCATAATAGAGCATCTGTAGGAGCATTTAAGCACGATCAGTGGAAAGATGGTCATAAACTCAAACAGACATGACTTTTCTCTCTGTCTTCCCCTGCAGGGTACAGCCTCCCCTGGGAGCAGGAAGGAGCGGGCTGGGAGTATCCGTCCAGCTTTGCCCCCCCACTGCAGGTGGCCATCGAGGCCAGCGATGGCGCTTCAGACTACGGCAACAAGTTTGGGGAACCCGTCCTCTCGGGTGAGGAAATTCAACGTCAACACGTCACTGCTGGATTTAGTCAGAGGCAGTAAAGTTAGATTTTAGTTGCTGTGGTTTAATATCTGCTCAGAGGAAGTTGGAACATTGGATCACTGTAATTATATAGTCTTGTTCCTCTAGGCTTTGCCCGTTCCTTTGGGATGCGGTTGGCTAACGGCGAGCGACGGGAGTGGATTAAGCCCATCATGTTCAGCGGCGGCCTTGGCTCGATCGAAGACGCCTATGTGAAGAAAGAAGAGGCAGAAGCTGGTGCTGTGTAACGGCCTGTTGCAGTAATCAATTCTGCTGCTATCTTTGCTCATCGATCGATGACTCTCTGTCCGGCTGTTTGCTATCAGGGATGGAGGTGGTAAAGATCGGCGGGCCGGTGTATCGGATCGGCGTGGGAGGAGGAGCAGCCTCTTCTGTTCAGGTGTGAACCCCCGAAAATCCATACAAGGCGCTAATTAACTTTGTTTTTGGCATTTGTTATAAGGCGTCCTATTTATCGTAGGTTCAAGGAGATAACTGCAGTGAGAGGGATCTGGGAGCAGTTCAGAGAGGAGATGCTGAGATGGAGCAGAAGATGAACCGCGCTCTGAGGGCCTGTCTGGAACGAAGCACCGGGAACCCCATCTGCAGCATCCACGACCAGGGAGCCGGAGGGAACGGTGCTAGCCTCTAGACTTTGATGCACAGCATGTTTGTTAAACCTAAGAATTGGGGTCTGACGAGTTTTCATCTTCAGGTAACGTTCTGAAGGAGCTCAGTGAGCCAGCGGGCGCCGTGATCTACTGCAGCAAGTTTAAGGTAATCAATGCAGAGGAAAAAAACACACTAAACCCTTTTTCCTCAGATTTGCACACAAATAAATTCATCTTGAATTAGAGACACACCAGAAATCATCCATTCTGTCCAGGTGGGACCCTCTCTGATCAGGGAATAAACTGTGCCGGGTTGTCATGGCAACGTTCACTTTGGATATCAGTGGGATGTTTGTGAGGCATAGAGGCTTAAGAACCTTTTTTAAAAGTTAAACATTTGTTTATCTGCAGCTTTTCTAGGCTGAGGAGAAGAACAAGAGCTGAAGCAGATAACAGGAAGGCCCATCATATATTTAGCAGTTACACATATTAAATCAAGTACCAGGCTGTATGTATAAACTTTGGTAATTAAACCATAACAATTAAACATTAAATGCATTAAAAATAGGAACAGTTATGGCCGCTCTGCACTCGGCGTCCTGACTGCTTCATCTGAACCTTCCTATCAGAGCTCCTCTGGGCTTCACAGCGCAGAGGATTCTGGGTATGCTGCCAAAGACATTTTTAGCTGTTTATTTGATTCTGTCTTTTTCCTCCTTGTCCAATGTATCTGTGTGCAGAAAGGCGACCCCACGCTGAGTGTTTTGGAGCTGTGGGGGGCAGAGTATCAGGAGAGCAACGCTCTTCTGCTGCGTCCGTCTGACAAGTCTTACCTGGAGAGGGTTTGTCAGCGGGAAAAGTGTCCTGTTGACTTTGTGGGACACATCACAGGCGATGGAAAGGTGTGTTTTATAAATCTTTGTCCGTTGCAGATTACAGTTGTGTGTTAATCTTCATGTGTTCTTACCCAGATTGTGCTGGTGGATGATGAGGGAGGCAGCGGCCAACAGGCAGACGCTGTCCGGCATCCTGTCGACCTGCAGCTGGAGTGGGTTCTGGGCAAGATGCCACAAAAAGAGTTTAAGATGGAGCGTCTGGCTCCCACCCATAAGCCCCTGACTCTTCCTCCTAAGCTGACGGTCAGAGACGCTCTGCAGCGGGTTCTACGTCTGCCTGCTGTGGCCTCCAAACGCTACCTCACCAACAAGGTGACCTCCTGCATCCAGTAGCTCAGTTCTTTGATTTTCTGGTGGTTAGTGTGCAGTTATTGTGACTCTGCTCCCTCCATCGTCAGGTGGATCGCTCTGTGACTGGGCTGGTTGCCCAGCAACAGTGCGTCGGCCCTCTTCACACTCCGCTTGCCGACGTGGCCGTCGTCGCTCTGTCGCCGTTCAGCCTGGAGGGAGCGGCCACGGCCATCGGGGAGCAGCCAGTGAAAGGTCTGGTCTGTCCTGCGGCGGGGGCCAGGATGGCTGTAGGAGAGGCTCTGACCAACCTGGTGTTCGCCAGAGTCACGGCTCTGAAGGTCAACTTCCCTACGAAAGCAACAGAAACGTGTCACGAGCTTCGAGAAAAGAACAAACGCTGTAATCCTACCTCTGAAGAAAACGTTTCCTGTTCATTTCAGGACGTGAAGTGCAGTGGGAACTGGATGTGGGCTGCCAAGCTGCCGGGTGAGGGGGCCTCTCTGTGGGAGGCCTGCAAAGCGATGTGTGAGGTCATGGGCCAGCTGGGGGTGGCCATCGACGGGGGCAAGGACTCCCTGAGCATGGCAGCTAGAGTGGGGACGGAGACCGTCAAAGCTCCAGGTACTTTCACCTCCTGTTATTAATAGATAATAATAAATTCTTACTTTTTTCATCTAGTGGGGGAATAATAATGAACACAGTCAGATAAACACAAATCACATGAACATTTTGCCAAAAGAAACAAAAAAATCGCCATCAGAGCCGGCGGTCCTTCACACACGGCTATGCTGAGAGGAAAACTGCAGACGGGCTGCGGTTAGCCACGCTTACCGTTAGACTCTGAGGTCCGCTGGTTGCCACAGTCCTCAACATCTGAACTTTTTTTTAAATGACCCACTAAATGAGTAAATGTGCAACATAGTGACGCTTTAAAGTATAATGTTCTCGCCTCAAATGATCTTAAAATCTACTTTTATTGAACAACGGCGACAGAAAAGAGAACTTTTAACTTAATACTCTGAGCTCTGTGAGCGCTAACCTGGAAGCTGCTGCTGCTGCAGTGCATGCTGGGACAGCTCGAGAACGGACAAGTCTGCTCTGATGCATGCTGGGTAAAGAGGGAGGGGCGAGAACAACATCCGGGGACTTTGTCCTTTCTCTGTCTTTTTGTTCTTGTGAATTAGAACAGTACTAGTGCTGAGGCTGATGACGCTTTTCGAGCACACGAGAAAGCACATTTACACCGATTGTGAAACGGCCACAGTCTATTACCCGTCTGTTTATAGTTTAATTGACCTCAGCCTCAGATGGGAGACATGCTGATGGAGAAAATGTCCAAAAATGGTTTTAATCGTATCTCAAAAGGAGGTTCAGTGGCTTCAGCTAACTGTCAGTCTGGTTCTTATGGAGGTTTCTTGCTGTTAAAAGGGAGATTTAACTCCTGTAAGGGATTGCTGCAGAGTCAGCAATGCAATGTCAGCAATACCTCAAGATTCAACATCATCCATCACTGCTCCGCTCACGCATTTCCTGCATCCAGCACTTGCGCAGTCCTGTTAGTCAGTCAGTGTACTTATATAGCGCCTTTTTCCAAGTCAGGAGACTTGACCAAAGCGCTTTACACTACATTCAGTCATTCAGCCATTCACGCACACACTGATGGTGGCAAGCTACATTGTAGCCACAGCTGCCCTGGGGCTCACTGACAGAAGCGAGGCTACCGTACACTGGTGCCACCACCATCAGTAGAGGTGAAGTGTCTTGCCCAAGGACACAACGACACTGAAAGTCAGAGCCGGGCGATTTCAGGGGAAACTCCTACATCCGACGGCACTGTCGCCCCTAAGAACTGTTCCACATCCACCGCTGCTCCTCCGAACGTCACCGTCCACAAACACCTTCACCGTCAAAATACGGAGCAAAGCTCTTTTCTGCTCCACTCCGATCTGTTGGAAGACCAGGTGGTCAAGATCCACAATCGCACCAAACAGGAAAAAGAACGTCGCAAAGATCCAGTTTGTCAAAGTAAAATATGGTAATCACCACTCAGTAACTACAAATTAGAGCAAAGAAGGCAGACGATTGGTCATCCAGCGAACCAGGAAGTAGATTAATCATCTCAATCAAAATATAATTTAAAAAATCCATCAAATCTTGTCAAAGAGCGCATCTCACAACTTTAAAAGAAACTTCTTATCGTAGGAATGGATGAAAAGATTCTGAGTTTGGAAGTAAAGAACAAACCAATTTTGTATTACCCTAGTAATCCTTAATTCAAGGACTCATGACGAAAAGAAAATGTTCGGGGAAACTGCATGTGTGATGGATGCTGATTGTGATATTTAATGTCATATTAAATTAAGCTTTCATTACCTTGTATTGTTTTCCTTTGAATAACAAATGATAATATCACGAATGCTCTCCTCAAGCTCCAAGGAACTCAGAGCGGAGCAAGAGAGGAGGAACAGCGGAGGCTGTAGGCTTTGCTTTGCGCAGGCGGTCTGGAAAGCATCGGGGGGGCAGGGGTTGGGGGTCGGTGAAGAGGATGTGGGATTTGGGGTTGGATAGAAAACTGAACCAATCTGATGTATAATGCGATTGAATTGTCTCTGTAAAGTGCCTTTAGATGACATGTTGTGAATTGGTGATATAGAAAGTAACTAAATTAAGTTGAATTTAACTTTAAACAGTTTCTAAAAGTCATTTAGTCATTTCTTTGCAGAAAAAGTATAAAAGCCCAAAACATAAAATATTGGATGTGTATCAGCCTCTCTTAACCGTTTTAAACCAAGCTATTAGAAGTCTTGTGCTGCTAAAAAATATCTGGCCCCTGTATGATTAAAAAATCTCCATCGTGGCTTTTCTTCTAAACTACATGTCCAAACACAGATTCCACCTGAGACCTGCTGTTTGATTCCAGCATAAAATTTATATAAAAAAGACCCAGAAACCCACCTGTCCTTTTTCTGCTGCATGCATGTTTTCATCTGCATGTGTTCGGGAGTTTAATAGGATTTCGTCTCTCTCAGGTGCTCTGGTTATTTCTGCGTATGCTGTTTGCCCTGACATCACTGCCACGGTGACGCCAGATCTTCAGGATCCAGATGATAAAGGTTAGATACGCTGATGGTAAGAGAGGGAGGATCTAGAACAGAATTCACATTGTGCCGTTTCTGTGTTTTTCTCCCTCCAGGAGTGTTGTTATGGGTTCCTATCAGTCCAGGTCACCGCCGCCTCGGTGGCTCCGCCCTGGCTCAGTGCTACAGCCAGCTGGGAGACCGCTCTCCTGACCTGGATCATCCTGAATACCTGATCGCCTGTTTCAACACCACCCAGAAGCTCCTGGAGGGTCAGTTTGCTGACGGATAAAATGCAACCCTTTAATCACCCAAAGGAAAACATTGAATATTTTCAGTTAAATTAATTTGGTTAGGTCTTCAATAATAGTATTTTTTTCCTTCATTTCCTAGAATTTTAGCAGGACCAAACTGCCCCCTGCTGGTTAGAATCAGTATCTCAGTAGAGAGTAATCTATTGTGATCTCAAAGGCACCTAAAAGGCATTTTTGTTGTTTTATTGCAATCCCAGTTGTCTAAATATAAGTTAATCTCTCTGTGCTCAGATGGTCTAATCAGCGCAGGACATGACATCAGCGATGGAGGCCTCATTTCCTGCCTGTTGGAGATGGCGTTTGCTGGAAACCGTGGCCTCGACGTTGAGCTTTCTTCAGAAGGATCCGGAGGTCTGCATCTCACTGATCTGTCCACCAAGCATTCAGCCTCTTCCCATCCTTCGTCTGCTTCCACCTGCTTCCTTTCACCATTCGCTCCACATTTTTACTGCAGGATCCATAGAAACTGAAGCACAAGCTTCCAAATTCTAGAAACCCAGGTGCTCTTTGTCTCCTAACAGGTTAAAAAACTTTGGTCTTTTATCAAATAAAACAGTTAATCAATTTCTCCGATGTACTTTTTAAGATTTGGATCAAATACTGTTTATTTGAGCTGCTTCTTTTCTATTTAGCTGTTTTCTCTCCAGAAATCCTCACAGGTTAACAAAACGTCCATCATAACGGTTCTTCACAGGCAAAGAAAATTGATCAGGTTTTATCAGATGTACATAAGGATCCTTGCTTTATTACTTCACAAAAAATTGACACGTTTATTTTTATAACTCCATATAACTTCCTGCAGAAATTGTCAAAATGTTGAGACGCCTTTTTAAGACTGAGTTTCTTTACAAGGATCTTATTTAGATATTGGATCAGACTGGTGGGCCTTCATTGTCTCTTTATATGTGCAGTGATGGAGCTGCTGTTCAGCGAGGAGCTGGGTTTGGTTCTGGAGGTCTGTCAGACCCACCTAGAGGCTGTCAGTCAGAGATACAGGGACGGAGGCCTGCAGTGCCATCACATCGGAAGAACCTGCGGCTTTGGTCCTGATGCTAAGGTGACACATTTTATTTTTAGCGCAGACCGCGCTCAGACCGTTTGCTGATTCTCCTCCCCTGTCGCCTGCCAGGTCCGAGTCCAGGTGGACGGACAGGAGGTCCTTTATGAGGCCCTGCCTGAACTCAGAGCAGCCTGGGAGGAAACCAGCTTCCAGCTGGAGCGCCTTCAAGCTGACGAGCTGTGTGTGAAGCAGGAGGAGGAGGGGCTTTCTAAGAGGACGCAACCGTACTTTAAACTGACCTTTGACCCCTCTGAAACTCCAAACATGAAGCAGCTCAGTAAGGAAGTATAACTGGCTCTAGTGTTAGCGATTATTGGAAATGTTTATATGCTTTGAATTTGACACATTTTGATCACACATTTACCCATTTTCTGTGGATCTTCAGTGACAGACTGACAGAGTATAGCTCATCATTTTGATAAGGAAGAGAAACCGGAACCATGAATAAATGTATATATAAAGATATGTGCTAAACATCCGTAACTAACATATGCCAGCTAATAAAGTAAAGACCATCCATCCATCCTTCCATCCATCACTTTAAATCAGACCAGCCAACCTGCTCCTCCTCCGTCACGTGAAAGAAACTCCCAAATATCCTCTTGTCTAATTTCGTTCTTCATCTCAAAAGTTTTTAAGACGGTTTGCTTCTTGCGACTCTTATGCTACGTTCACAACTAAAGCGCCTGCTGCTTCGTTTTTTTGGTGCTTGTACACGTTAAGGTCAGACGCACCATAAGAGCGTCCAGTAAACTGTTCTGATGCTTCTGCTGCTCCTGTGATCAATGGCAGAGAGCGGCTTTGCTATATTTGCTGTTATAAGTGGATAAAAAGTAGTTTTAATATATTTTTACATGTTAAAATCCACCTGAAACATCTTCTGTAAAATAATTTTTTGCTGTCAGACCCCCACATACCAGTGGTGCGCTGTCTCTGGGAATCCCCAGCAGCAGCTGCCTCAGGCCCGGGTGCTTCTTGAGGGTTTTCCTCTACTGCTGCTGGAAGCAGTTATGTGGTTCAAACTGCAGACACCAGGATAATAAAAGCAAACATATTCTGCCTGCAGGTTTCTACATTTTAAGTTAATTAAGGAGTTGTTAAACTGTTTCAGAGGAGTGATCACAGCGCTCTGCATCAGCAGAGCTGTGTCTGTCTCCCTGCCAGCTCTCAGCTCCTCTGATTGGTTGATGTGGCGCGTCGAGCAGCAAAAGTTCAATTTTTTAAACTTCTGCGGCTTGTGAAGAGTGTCACATGCTTCAGAAGCTCATGAGGCGCTGCTCTACACGCGCTGCAGCACCTCCTGATGCGCCTTGATGCGCGTCAGCCATAGACTTTGAATGTAAACCTGCCTCTTCTGCGGTTTAAAGCGTTAGGTCAGCATGCAGGACTATCGATAGATAATCCTATCCCCAAAACCTAAAGATGCTCCACTACTCCTTTAGGCTGTACCTATTAGTATAGTTAAATCTTAAACTTCTTAACATCCACCTCATTTTGGGTAATCCTCGCCTATTTTGCATACCCAAATGGAAAAGCAAGTAACTTAGTAACTGTAAGCCCAAATTACATGTGAAATACGTTATTTGAAAGCGAACACCCTCTAGTTTCCTAATATATAAATTAAAATTGGGTGACTAGAACACAGACCAACCTGCATCAGTTTATGACTCGTTGTTTTTTTTTTATTCTCGGAAACGATAGGTCTTTTTTAAACAGTAGTAATAAAGACATTCTTGAGAAAAGGCACGTTTTATTGTATTATATTTGTTCTACATCAAGTCATCCACAAATGCAGAAAATTTCAGACCTCTAGCTCCAACAGTTGCAGAGCTGTTAGGTTTAGAACTTTTGGTGTCAGCTTGGAGCTGTGGGCAATGGCTCCCCCTGCTGGTAAAGATTTTACCGGTGGAATTTTATGCATTCTGAGTTATTACCCCCCACCTAAGGTTTTAAGAGGTTAAATCCAGCTTACTGAGTCGGCTCTCTTATCGTCCTACAGCTGCAGCTCAGCCACGAGTTGCTGTGATAAGAGAGGAAGGCAGCAACGGAGACCGAGAGATGTCCGTCTCTCTGTACATGGCAGGCTTTGAGGTCAGCAACGACACCTTCAGCATCGGAGCTGCTGTCAGAGAATCAGTTCTTATTTTAACCTGTAACCTCTGCAGGTTTGGGATGTCACCATGCAGGACCTCTGCTCCGCCTCCTTAACCCTCCAGCCCTTCAAGGCGGTCGTGTTTGTGGGAGGATTCAGCTACGCAGATGTGCTGGGGTCAGCTAAGGGTAAAGCATCCTAACACCTGATCACAGAGGGTGTTCAGGCGCAGGGTTCCTCCGTGTGTAACGTTCCACCTCTTTCCTTAAGGTTGGGCTGCAACCGTTGCCTTCAACCCAAAGGCAAAAGCAGAATTTGATCACTTCCAGCAGAGGGAAGACACTGTGAGTCTGGGAGTTTGCAATGGCTGCCAGCTGCTGGCCCTGCTGGGCTGGGTGGGAGAGGGAGAGGACGGAAAAGGTGAGATTAAAGGGCAATAAATAAGTTCTTACATTATTGGATTAATAGATGTCTCTTTACAGGACAAAGTTTCTACTACAAATGTATACAAGTTTACATTCATTTTGGTTCAAATAAATAAGCAAAGATTATTTTAAGTAAGGCAGGTTTTTTATTTGAAAAGATTAATTAAATTAATTTAATTGAACTTTATTGATCTTAAATTGGTAAAATCCACCTCTGCATATATACTATATATACGCCTCGGGAGCAGTGGGCTGCCCTCGTAGGACGCCTGGGGAGCAGTGGGGGGGTTAAAGGTTATGTTCAGAGACCCAGAGTGCCGAAAAAAAATCTTTTCTCCCTTTTTCTTTTCTTTTGAGACTCTGAAGTGGTTCTGACTCACAATCGTTCCGGGAGGTTTGAGTCTCGCTTCGTCAGCGTTGGGATCCAGAAGTCCCCGTCCATCTGGCTGAGAGGCATGGAGGGTTCTGCTCTGGGGGTGTGGGTTGCACACGGAGAAGGTAAAAGTCCAAACTACTTCAGATCTGTTTGGGTCACGCAGCAGTGAGTAAATGATAAAGTTTGAACGGTTGAACTTCCTCAGTAGCTTTATGAACAGCTCTGTAAAGACAGCAGGGATCTGTGTGGCTGAGTAGAATCTGCCGCTGTGTTTGTCATTAATCTGCTCCAATCCTCTTCCTGTCCTGCAGGTCTGATGTCCTTCCGTAGCTCTCAGGTCCAGGACCTGATCACCTCTTCTGGGCTCGCCCCTCTCCGTTACCTTGACGACGAGGGCTGTCCCACCGAGGAGTACCCTCTAAACCCTAACGGCTCCCCTCAGGGTATCGCGGGCCTGTGCTCCAGGGACGGGAGGCACCTGGCCATGATGCCCCACCCGGAGCGCTGCACCCTTGGCTGGCAGTGGCCCTGGGCTCCCAGGGGCCTCAGACTTTCGTTGACACCTTCCCCCTGGCTGCGAATGTTCAGGAATGCAGCCGCCTGGTGCAGCGGCACAGATTGACGCTGCAGCTTTAGCTCCCTGTTACATTTGTCTTTGTTTAACGTTGGAGACGGTTAACAATCCTGACAGAGATGTTTACGTGTTTTATTAAACTACCAAACACTAATCATGCTGAAATCATCAGCTACTTTGCTGTAACATTTCAAACTAAACCTGCTTATAAGTCTGTATGAAAAAATAATCTGTGATGGGAATAAAGATGAACACTATTAAACAATAAATATTCTTTATTTTCACCATAAAACAACTTCACAAGGTGTCACATATATACAGGGAAGGCATCACAGACAAGTTCCTGGATAAAAAAAAGTCATTTTCTGCAGATCAACACATTTCTTTCCTTTTGATTAGAAATGTTCATCCAGCAACTGAACATCAGCTTAGGAACTCGATGAGTTGTAACAAGAGCTGAACCAGCGTGCTGCGTTTGAACGCATCACGGTTACATAAGCTCTGTAAACACTTGGCAACAGTCCACAGTCTGAGGGGCTCAGACGGCGTCCCACTCCCACACTCTTAGCAAACAGCACTTATCAATATCCTCTCATCTGCTAATCCAAACAGGCGGAGAGTAAAAAGTCCATTTTCTAGCAGCTTATACTGACGGTGCATCAACATTAAACTACAGTGAGCTCCCCGTTACTTCCTGTGAGGTCGTCCTGTTTGGCGAGGGTCCCCCTTCTGGTGTGATTTGCTGATTAACATTAATGACGCAGAGGAGCAGCAGAAAGACCACCACCAGGTCATCCAGAACCCCCAACAGTCCGCAGAGAGAGGGGTCAGTTTCCAGCTGGCTCGATGGCGAAGCTGTAGGGTCCGCCTCAGGCGAGGAGATGGACACCACGGTCCCCACACAGCACAGGGCCACCCTGAACAGGAAGAGCCAGACCAGACCTCCCATGGTGCCCAGACCGCGGGTCAGTAACTGCAGGAGGAGAGGCGCATCGCAGAGGTAGTCGGTCACCTGGAAGGAACACGATAAAAGAGAGCAGGTCAGAATGGAGACATGGAGGGATTCAAACATCAGGCCTTCAAATACAGTCTGGATATCAAAGCATCACCTTTAACCTTTGACCTCTTATCTCAATACAACCACAGACCGAGGGGACAAAAGTATTCATGTTTATTACTAAAATAGAAGTATAAAACCTACTGTTTGAAAACATCAAGTTAAGATTTTTACTCAAAAGTATCAAAGTACCATTTTTAAAACTACTTCAAGTATAAAAGTAAAAGTAATGCAGGAAGAAATGTTAAGGACACTACCCTATTAAAGGAACATTTTTCTACCATTCTGGATGACAACTTCCTTATACTCAGTTTTCTTAGTTTTATAAATAATAAATTTAACTTTGCAACATATTGAAAAACTATTTCTTTTGATATGTGGTGAACAAGAAATTGGGGCAGCACCGAGTCCAACCACAAAGAAATAAATTGATTGGATGAAACTAATTATTTAATTTTTTAAAATACCAACAGAGTGGTTAGAGCAGAGCAGTTGGTCTCTAAAAACGTTGCTAGTACCTGGTTTGATCCCCACAGCCTGCACTGTGGGTCCCTGAGCAAGACCACACTGCTCCCGAACAATGGAGAGAGAGAGTGAATTTCCCTATTGTTAAATCAAATAAAACAATTGAGTCCATTTTTAAAATGTAAGAAGTAGAAAGTAGAGATAATTACAAAGAAATGTAAAGAAGAGGAAATAAATTGTCTCATTTATTGGTTTAACTTTTTTTGTTACAGATATATAAGACAAACTTAACCTCTGTTCTTGTCATGCCTGTTAGTAAAATGAAGACCAGCAGTTGGCTGTAAAATCCTCTGAATAAGGTCAACCTGTGTGCAGTTTAACCTCTAGCTGCTCTGTGAATGCCTCACAGGTTTGTTAGAGGACATTAGTGAGCAAGCAGCACCATCGTGTGAGAATGGAGCTCAGGATGTCAGTCTGGATGCTCCGTCCCTGCAGCTTAGTCTGTGCTTTCATCATCCCAGAACCCCATCATTCCCTAATGGCATAGGAAGAGGATCCCTGAGGCTATCATTACCTGCTATAAATGTTAACTTCAGCCTTTTTTTGTTTCACTTCTTTTGGATAAAGACATGTTCAACCCTTATCCCATTCCCAGCTCCAGTATATGAGAATATAATTCTCGTCAATCCTATCCAGGGTACCACTCTGCTGTGCTAAAGGAGTCTCTGTGATCACTGACCCTTCGTGGGGCTCCAGAATAGCGTTTGTTGTAGTCTGTGATTTCTCCCAGGACTTTCTTGGACTGCTGATCTGATCGACTCTCCTTAAACAGGTTGCACAGCACACTGACCTGAAAACATGACCAGTTTTTTTTTTTTAATAACACCTCCGATAGTCAAAAACACTCATGATTTGCAGTAAAGCTGTTTCATCAGTCTACCTTCTGTCTGCAGAGGGGACAGCTGACCGCGTCCAACCAGGAGCCATGTCTCCAGTAGGTAAGCAGGCAGTTGGCTGCAGAAACGAATGGAAAAAAAACAGTTTTTACTACATTTAATTAGATAAAAATACATCTTTAAAGGAAATGTGAAAAAGAGCAGATAATCAGTTCATCAATTAAGATTTCTTAACATTTATTAATAAGAGCGTTAACTGAAAAGGTTACTTAGTTGAGGGATAGCTGCAGGGCGTTGCACTGAAGGTGAGCATGTGTTTAGTAATCAGTAACAGAGTCAAGGTTAAACAGAAGTGGGTTTAGGTCATAAATACTATCACTATCTTAAAGGAATCGATATCCAAATATAGAAAGCAACGGATCGCTCAGCTGACATGACCTGAGAAACTTTGATAAGTAAAGCATGACTGGAGCCGAAGCTCTGGTTGAAGTTCACTCAGCAGAAGGCTGATCTCTCTCTCTAACCGAGGCTTTTTTAAGACTTAAAGTACCTTTTTTCTTTTGTTTGTTTGCTTTTTTTTGTACTTTTTTTGGTTCTTCAAGTAGATAAACTACAAATGTAAACTCTGTGCACTTTTCCACATCAATAAACCCCAATTAGGGCCTCTGTAGCTGCTGCACAGAGTCTAAATCACTCATTGACCAAATGATATACTGTACCTTACAAAGTATTCACACTTAATGAACTTTTTCACCTTTTGTCAGGTTAAAAAAATCCCACTTTAATGTTTCCATTTGGATTTAACTATGAAGTGATAAAAAAAGACATGTTTTTAATTATTTAAAGATCAACTCTCTGGTTCATTATGGTACTTCTGTTCCAACCTTAAACATCTAGAGACATTTTGCCCGTTCTGCTTTGATAAACAGTTGAAGCATAATCAGAATAAATGAAGAGCAGCTACAAACATTACCATTTGGAGCTGGACCTTGAATAAGCCAGCCTAACTCATAAATATGCTTTGATCTAAACCTTTCTGTCATAAATCTGACTTCATGCAGTAGATCTTTACCCGGCTGAGGGTCAACAAAACTTTAAGGATTGGCCTTCATGTAGAAGCTCAATTACTCTTCCTATAGACTTGGAGCAGCTTCCTTGTTCCTGCTTACAGATTGTCCTATTTGCCTTTTTTTCTTTTTCTGGCCACAGTATTAGATTTTTAGTTCTAAAGTTTAGAAAAACCAAAAAGAAATATCATTCATTGAAAGGAATCGAAATGTGAAGTTGTAATGTGAGAAGTGTAAAAATAATCAAAGGGTTTGTGTTAAGTAAACTCTGACAGAGGTGGGTCAGGTTGCGTGTTTTTGTGATCTCATACCACAGAATAAATGGCCACAGTTGGTCTGGACTGGGAATGTAGCCGTCTGCAGACACACGGGGCAGCTGCAGTCTCCCGTGCTCCTGGACGGACAGGCCTGCGTTGATTCCTGAAGGGAACCACATGGACAGAAAAACAAAAAAAGCATTAAATTAAGGATGTCATCTGGACAAGCTCGATTGATTTTCTCTTGAGACACAGCAAACACGTACGCAAAAACAATTTTAGAGATTTTGTGTTTGGTTAAGGATTAAGCTCACGTGAGGAACAGGGAGGATTGTAACAAACTTTGTTTGGCAACAACCCTCTGAAGCCGCTTACAACCCCTAATAAAGATTGTGTTTATTCTACAGTCGTACGATGGGTGGCGTGATGATAATCACGTACTAAAGAACCTGCAGAACGCAGGTGTAACTGCAACCATGTTACCATGACTCTCACCTTAAAGCAGCTTTCATGCATGATGAGCAGCTCTAGTGTGCAGGTCGATGCTGAGGATGACGCCGGGTGATTCTGACCCAATAAAGCTTCAGGGTGCAGATGATCCTGTCTGCAAAATGACATGATAACCAAGGTAAGTGCATCATAAATATAAGGTCATATCTCAGCCAGTGGGTAGATACTTACACACCACTTCTCACTTGAGTATGATAAGGCTGACTAAGATCAACACATCTCTGATTGTCTGAGATCAACACATCTCTGATTGTCGCTCACTCATACTGATGCTCTGAAAGCTGCAGTCTGACCCTTTACCTGCATGATCTAACATAAAAAACTAACACCTCCATTTAAATCATTATTGTATGTCCTTCATTTGACAATTGTAAAGCATTAAATTTAAGCTTTAAATGTTAAAATCTATTAAATAAATCAGAACTGACAGCAGTATGATAAAAACATCAGAAATAACTCCCAAAATAATTGAATTGGATTATATAAAACACGTCACCCCCAAAGATCAACTCTGAGCTTAAATTTCTCAAATAATAAATGAATGAATTAACTTTAGAAAGAGCAGCACTAAGACTTTTGTTTAGGAGGAAGTCCAACGTACCTGTGAGACAGAGGCAGGTCCTCTAAAGGCAGCAGCGGTTGGAAGGGAAAGGTTTGGTCTCGGTTTCCTAGCGGGAAGCAAAGTGTTGGCTGACAGCAATGCAGCAGAAAATAAATCCGTGTTGCTTGTTAATGATTACCTTCACCCTCCAGTATCAGCTGGAGTCCTTCTGCTTAAAGGGAGCGCTGCTAGAGTCTGATCAATAAGAGTGTAGAGCGACTATAGCAAAGAGGAGGTCTAATTTGAGTTGAAATCAAACTGTTATAATGAAGGTTCTTAGATAATCTTATTAAGGAATTAAAATGTGTACTTTCACTGTTTGAGTCATATGATCAAATGAGGTCAGTGTAAGTTTCCCTTCATGCTTTGTTTGGTGGTTGGGATCTGAATTAGCCAATCATTTACTTTACGTTTACTCTGCCAAAAACCCTCTTTACACAATATTTCTCTCACAATGAACTCCTGGTTGTTAAATCTATGAAACAGTATCCAAAACCAGAGACATTCAACTCACCTTAATTAGTTATCTTACATTTTATTATTTCGACATATTTTCTAACCTGGGAAAGATACAGACTGTGAACTTGCATTCAGAAAAGTTAATCTACCCTTTTATATCTTGTTATACAATTAACACATTTAAGATATCTAAATGCATTAAAAAAACTTTTTTCTTTAACACATCTTTTTTATTATCTGATAATTGGATTCAAAACTACAAGATTAATTGAAGAACTTGTTGCAGATCTTTTTTTTTCTGTTCAAATCACTTTGCTGTTCTTTTATATTTGTGTTAATAGGATGCAACAGCAAAATTTTCCTGAAATCTGAAAAAGAGAAATAAATTCTTCAGATTTTAAGTACAATTTAAAAGCAAAGGGACATTTAGAAATTTTTTATTTTAACTTTACTAAAAAAAAAACAAAAACAAAAAAAAAAACAGTTTTTTCTTCAAAAAGCTATTTTGTTCTGGACAGAATCCCAGCAGGTCAGACTTGAATAAAAATCAGACATTGCTTTTTGTTTATCTTTAATGTTATCAACTGAGATATGCTGAATCCATCAGATCCAGTGGACATTTTTGTGCCTTAAAGGCTTCATTGAAATTAATCTGTGCCTGAGTTAAAATCATTAGGAAGGCTGACATCTACAAAAACAACCAAAAAAAGCTTTTACAGTGTAGCACGTTAAAAGCAAAGCAGAGGTTTAGGATGGGATCTGAAGAGATGAAGAGAAAACTCACCTTCCATTATAGAAATACACCAACCAATGTTAGTTCTGTATGCTCAGCCAGACAGAGATAAAGGATGAAAGGTCAGAGGTCACTTCCATCAGGCCAACACCACACTTTTTTATCTCCTGGTTTATACTGAATTTCAGCAGGACAAAACCCCCCAAGTGCTCTACCCCCCAAAATTCAACTCCTATACAGGCCATCATTAGTCACTAAACCATTGTTTTTGCACCACATTATTTTAACTATACGTGTGAACAAATGAGCCCCTGTGGTGCTCCTGATACTGCAGCGGATGTCAGATGTCGGCATCAGAATTTTCTCAGAGAGCTTGACATTGAACCTGGATACAACAACCCCCACATAGTTCAGGAGAGCTGGCAATGCACAATTACCTTGATAAACATTTGCTCTGGCACTCCAGATCAAAGCTGGAGTCTGTTGGCTTTAGGCCATCTAAAAATAGTCTCTATCAGTCAGTGAGGGTCAGTGTCACAGAGTGGCAGAAATCAGCAGATAAAACATGAACGCTCACTGACAGACATTGAAAGCTGGCGCAGAGGGTGTGTCCCTCCAGGCTAAGTGGGCGATGTCCAGTCTTACATCACACTCTGGAAATTTCTGTTGATATAAGTCTGTCGGAAATCTCTTTAACGGCAAGAAACAGTTCTAAACATGTCAAACTAACATTAGATGGATGAAACCATGCAGGAGCTTTACTTATATTTCTTAATCTGGCAGACAGGCTGGATCTGCAGGTTTACTAGTGGTTCCTAGAATTTCTAAAAGTAGAATGGGAGGCAGATCTTTTAGTTCTCAGGCTCCTCTCCTGTGGAACCAACTACCAGTTTTAGTCCGTGAGGCAGACACCCTGTCTACTTTTAAGGCTAGGCTTAAAACTTTCCTTTTTGATAAAGATTATAGTTAGAGTGGCTCAGGTTATCCTGAGCTATCTCTATAGTTATGCTGCTATAGGCTTAGACTGCTGGAGGACATAGGGACCCCCATTTCATTATTCTGCTTCATTCTCTCTCTATTCTCCTATTCTGCAGAATCTGTTAGTTCAATCTCTAACGTTCTGCTCTCTCTGCTTTTCCTCAGAGTAGCTTTGCCTCGTCTATTCCTGTTTGGCTGTGACTCCATCCTGGAGAGAAACATTAGCTGTGCTGCTGCCATCAACACCTTTGTTTATAGATGTTGGAGCTTGGCCTGTTTTCCAGTGTAGTCCTGTTTCTCTGACCCTGACTAACTGGATGTGCTCTCTTCGTCCTCTGGCATGGGAGCTGCCTCAGAGCTCGTCTGCATGGCTGTGTGTTTCCTGGACGGGGCCGCCTTTTGCAGCTGCTTTTTGTGTCTCTGCTTCTGTCTCCTTGAACCCCAGTCGGCCTCAGCAGATGGCCGCTCACACTGAGCCTGTTCTGCTGGAGGTTTCTTCCTGTTAAAAGGGAGTTTTTCCTCTCCATTGTTGCTACAAGCATGCTTAGTGTGAGGGATTGCTGAAGAGTCAATGAGTTGATTGGTTTTCCTTAGATAGAAAACTTTGTATCAATTTGACTGTATGATCTGGTTGAACTGTAAAGTGCCATGAGATGACATGTGTTGTGAATTTGGCGCTATATAAATAAACTGAATTGAATTGAAAAATTGAATCTAGTGAGAACTTTAGACGTTGCCATTAAATTTCCTCCTTTCTGGAGCAACTGTCCTTTTTTTTTTCTATATATATGACCTTTTTATTTTATGGGAGAGTATTTGACAAAACTTGAATTTGCCCAATCCAAGCTGCACATTCTGATTTTTTGTTTCTGATTCTTATATCTTTCCCTAATTATTGTAACAGATGTGCTTAAATATGGGGAACTCCAGAATGGGAGCTGAAAAGCTCATTGCAGTGTCTGTTTTTCCTCCATTTGGGGATCTGGTTCAAAGCTGCTGTAGAATAAAGACTGCTTGAACATTGTTGGAGACTCTCTACTTATTACTCCGCCATTAGAATCAGAACCACTCGACCTCTGTGCAACTATCTGCAAAAGGTGTTGTAATGCAGGCTCCCACTTAGAACCTGCATTTTATCCTTTTGCACTTATCAAACCTTCAGTCTGTATATATTCTTAATTAGTTTTAGAAACACTGTTTTGATTCGCTTTAAATTGTTTGTTTTACAGTAAAATTAAAATTATTGAATTAATGTAAGTCTAAATAAAATGCAGTCATGTATCTTTAAATAGAAAGTTTTTGCCTGGCACTAAACATGGGATTAGAACAAGAAGTTTTAAAGGCAAAACTGTGCTATCCTATAACCATCTACTACTAAACGGATCAACATTCCTAAGGTTTTAGTTTACTAAACGTTAAACAATGGCCTAAACTGCTTTGTAGACTACTTTAGGTTAAAGTATTTAATGCCAGTAAAAAATTAAGGAAAGCCCTTTTTTGATGTAATAAATACATAAAAACTATTTGAGAAATATTGGAAATGAATAGGCTATAACTTATTTTGACTCATTTACTTTTTTTTTATATCAGATTTTCTTTTCAGCACTTATATATGTTTTCAAATGATTCTGAAAAGTTTGGTTTATTTAAATTTCCTTGGAGTTTTTAACCTCTACACACAGGTTACCATTGTGCTGTGAGTGGAGGCAGGGTAAAACGCTTTAATCGCTCTTTAAGAACAAGGGTGGATCTACGCTTCAAATTCTGCTTTCTGATTGGTCACTATGCGCCAAGGAGTTGTCAATCATATCTAAGCTTAGTCCTGATTGGTCAGATCCGGATCCCTGAAACATGCAAGCAACACTACACCGAGTAGTTTAGCAGCCGCGCCATTCATAGATTTTTTACGTAATTTCTTGGCGTAAATCGTGCTTGTTCGCTGCTGGACTACGTACCTTTCATCAGCAGTTTACCTTTGGCAGCAGGTGAGGTCAAATGCGGCGGAGCAGAGCGGAAGAGCTTCGTTGAAACAGGTGGAGGAAAGGATTTTACGTTTGCTTTTGTTCTCTTTTATTTCCTTTTTCTTACCAAAGGGGGGAACAAATGGAAAACAGTAAAACGGCGCTGGTGGAGAGCTTGATAATATGGGTGAGTTTATTTGGTCATGTTTATGTTAAGCTGAAAGGACAGCGGTTATTTTTAGTTACCTGTCTGTAGGTGGCTTAGGGGAGGAGGGGGGCTTCCTGAACAGCTGAGGGAAATAAATGAGATAAATTACTTGGCACGGATAATATTAGCCTCTGTGGTCGATAATTTCAAAGATTAGCTTTAGCTTTAAAGAAGCAGTTACCGTAGAGACAGTAGCAACACGAGAGCCAATCAGAACAGAGTCTGTAGGTGAGCTACTTGCTTTTTAGCACAGTTAGCATCCAGCATGTGTAAATACTTAGTTATGAAGGGCTACAACTGCAAACATCTAATAAATGCAATTATCATTAAATAAAACATATAACGCTAAATATAAATAATGGAACATTTTCTGTTTTATATATATATATATATATATATATATATATATATATATATATATATATATATATATATATATA